TAAAATAACTAAAATTATCCCCTTAATTAAAATTATCAATCAAAACACCGTGCAAAGAGAAAACACACATAATAGTCAGCCATCCTACTCCGATAATAATGTTTTCAATTACGACTGGACTGAGGTCGTTTCTTCTAAATCTAAAATACGTTTAAACCATGAGCGTAGGTAGAGAATATTTTCGGAGGGGGGTTTTGGTCTAGATTTATATTAGTACTATAAAACATTAAAATTAAACATGAATTATTTATTTAATACAACTGAATACCAATACAATATTTTGTCCATATAAATTACAAATTTAAAAATATAAAAAAAATTATAAGATAAAACCTTGTTTTCTTAGTTGAAGTTTAAAAATATTGATTACCTACTTCTTCCACGTCAATATTGATTTCACGATGAACGCTTAGCAAAGCAAGTCCAGTTAATTGTTAATTTCCTGTCGAATTTCTTAAATATGATTTAATACGTTTTAATGTTGAAAAAGTTTTTTCTGTAGTAGTAGTTGATACGGAAAGTGTAGAAATAATAGTTAACAATTTTTTTATATTTGGAAAAAATTCAAAATCATATTTTAAAAAATGCTTCAAATTTTGAGTATAGTCTACAATCTTCTTTTTCTCTTGCCCATTTGGATTTCCACAATAAATATTCCAAATCAAACTGTTGATGATCCGAAATTATTGTTTTGTAAAAATCCCATAAATTAATAACATATTTCTCATTAGTAAAAACCACTTTATTCGGCATAATATTTTGAAAAGATAAAATTAAATCATAATGCTGTTCAAACTAACTTTTTAAATTTGTTATAGAATGATCAAGAAATGGTATAAAAAATGTTTTTCTATAATATTCTTCCGGCGTAGAATCTTAATAATTGTCTCGATAAATTTGTTTTTTTTTTTCGAAGATCTTGGTACACTCATTGTGCCACCAACATCAGTTAAAGTTTTTGAAGCCGTAATAAATATTAGGTAAAATTCCATCTCAGCATTTTGACAAAGAAAATTGAAAGAGTCAATGACAACTCGAACTATTTCGGGGGTGTTTGAACACCCAAAACTCCCCCCTTACCTACACCCATGGTTTAAACTCCGAAAAACGAAGTCCGTTATCAAAAACAGCCAAAACTACAACGAGTACACAACTTTCCTCCCATAATAAATTCAGTGTCTTATCGCAATATGAAGACACGGATATGGAAAATAACGAAATAAACGAAATCGTATACAAATTACCTCCACCAATATTTATTAAAACAAAAATCCATAGTTATCAAGTTTTTTGCGAAAAATAAAAATATAATCGAACCGAACGATGATTTTACTTGCAAAAGCTTTACCGAGTTAGTTAAGTTTAACAGTTAACACTAACTCGTCAAATGCATACAGAACTATAATTAGATATCTAAAAGAATCAAAAGTAGAATTTTTCACTTATCAATTAAAAGAAAACAAACCGTACCAGATTGTTATCAGAAATTTACACCCTAATACTGATCCCGATTACATAAAAGAAGAACTTGAAAAAGAAGGATTTTAAACAAGAAATGTCACAAACGCTCTTCATAGAGTCTCAAAAATACATCTACCCCTACTTTTTGTAGATCTAGAACCAGCACTAAACAATAAAAACATATTCGAGCTCAAAACTCTATGCTATACCAAAGTTAAAATCGAAGCACCTCGAATCAACAAACTAGCATCACAATGCTTAAATTGCCAAAATTACGGTCACACCAGAACTTACTACAACTATCCGAGATGTGTCCATTACTATGAAAATCACAGAACTAACACATGTACCAAAAGTCAAGAGCTCCCTGTTAAGTATGCGTTATCTAATGGAAATCACCCAGTAAATTATTGCGGATGTCTTGTTTTCAAAAACCTACAACTTAGAAAAAAACAACTACCAATCAAAAGCAACATAATCATAACCGAAGAAAACACAAATTGTATAAACCCCATCTTGTACAACACAATTCTCAACAGTACCTCACACTCAAATAATTAATATAACAGCCAAACCTATTCTCAGACCATCCTACAAAAAAAAAACCCGATACACACAAATAACGAACACCAAAACCAAAAAAATGAAAACATGACTACCTAACCGACCTCCTTTCTAAACGAATTGAAATCCCTCATTAACCCATTAATTTCATTTTTAACAATAGTCATCGACAAATAAATAGTAAAAAATGTCAAATGTTAACAATCAAACTTTTCCTTTATCAATACTACTCTGGAACGCAAATAGAATAACCCACAATAAAAATGAACTTCAACGCTTACTCTACGAAAAAAAAAATAAATATCGCTCAAATTACAGAAACTCACCTAACACCAAAGAAACATTTCAACATACCAAGTTATACAACACATCTAACAGATCACCCCCGATGGTACTGCACATACCGGTACCGCGATCTTAATATCCACCATATTATTACACTAAAAAAAAAAAAAGTTCCCTATAATATGACCCCACCAAACTAATTAGGAGTACTATTGATGGATGGTATTCTACTCTTAAAATATACATATCATGTTTTATATTATATATTATCAAATTTACTTATTGTACTACTTGTTGTATAGATTGTGAATATGCATTTTAATAATAATATTAAAAAAAAAAAATTGCTCAACATTAATATTAAATAATTCCAATAGTTTTTGACACATTTTTGTAATTATGATAAACCAAAAAAAAAAAAAATAACTAGCCTATTTAATAAAATTTAAAATAAAAAATATTATATTGGTAGATAAATATTTGCATTATAATTAATTATTTTTCACAGTGTGCTGTATTTTGTAACCATCAATCTCTCTTGTAGAATCTATTATTAAATTAGTATTAATTACACATTATATTATAAGGCAATAAAAATAATGTCAGTTAGGTCATGGTTTTAAAATATACCTATTCAAATATTCAACACCTACCAAATTGCCTAATTTCATCCTATTTAATAGTTTTTGATTTGCAATTTTGCTATGATGAAGAAACGTTTCTTGTAGCATGATTGATGTTACAAACATGGAAGGCTTAATAAATACTTATAAAGATACTCTATTTTATATTTGTATTCTATCTAATTATAAAAAAGCCACACGAGTATTATTACTATATGAAAAAGAAACTATTATTATTCTCCAATACTAAGTTCAATGTATTTCGTGACGTATTACTATGAACATCAATCGCAATGAAACTAGGACAAATAAAAACGAATAAACAATAGATCGTGTCAACATAATGAGAAAATGCCAGACAAGAAAATTTCAAAGATTCAAGAAGGGCCAGAGATCTCCTAGAATGATAGTTCGGAACAATGCATGTAGCTGGTTATTTAAAAATTTATATTTTTATTATTAGGTACCTATATAATATATTATTAATTGTAAGAGTTCATTAACACTCAGCCCTTCAGAAAATTGACGACGTCCATATTACAGATAATTAAATAATCACCAAACAGATATAATAACCATTTTGATATAGGTAATATTTTTAAATTTATTTTGATAAAACTAAATTATTAAGGCCAATTTACGTTTAAATATACCCACAAAATAAGATTAAGCTCCAAGTAGATAACAACATGTATAAGGTACCTACTGAATATCTGAAATCAAATGAGTCACGGTTTTCATTGGCTAGAGATTTAGATTTTTATAGTTTTTCTATTTAACAAATGATGTATAATCAATCATGGGCGTGTTTTTTTTTGGGGGGGGGGGCAATTGCCCCCTTCTGAATCCGTATTTAAGGAATCGATTATACGAATATGTGAGATACACATTACAAATGTTTTTAATATGGATAACTTAATAATGATATCAAATAGGGAGTGTTGGCGTAGCCGCCCAAAATTTGGGTTCTAGTTGCGCCTATGGTTCATACTTAGTGAAAAATCAAATAAAATATAAACGTATTTTCAAAACACAGTTAAAAAATAACTAAACAAAAGTCGATTCTAAGTGGATCCGGCATTAGATTAAAAAAAAAAAAAACTACAAATATTAAGGATTCACCGGATTTAAATATTACCAAAAATTTTGAGCCTGAATTAAAGAAAAAATGAAGCCCCCTCCCCCACTAGAAGTAAGTCTAAATACGCCCTTGTAATCAATACACCTATTGTATGATAGTGCTAATTTTATAAATGATCATCTTTTCGAACTTATCTGAAACACGAATACGTACACGTCATTAGATACAGCCCATAACTATGACACACGTTTCGAGTTTAAAGAACCAATTCGCAATAACATTCACTCAATCCTCAAGAAGTATCGTTTGTTTTTAGTTATCTTAGAATAGAGCAGAACTCCGATTATCCGAACTAATTAGCTACTGTCAAAGGTAGTTTAGGTAAACAAATTTCCGGATAATAAGCTTCAGAATGAGATAGCCCATATTTATCTTCAGTCATATCATCTCGCTAGTTAATTTTACTTTCTTTCAGTATCATCTTTTCCAACTAAACTATGAACTATTTCATCATCTGAAAGTATGTGGTGTTTTAAATAAATTGTGTTCAAAAGCTACCCCCCCCCCCCCAATTTGTATTATCTCTTCACAATTTCCTAATATGTGTACTTGACTTATACACTAGCAAAATACAACTACAATTAAGTTATTAAAAAAAATAATTTTTTTTTCTAACCCAGATAATCGGACGTTCGGTAGATTAGTGTTTAGATAACTGAAGTTCTACTGTATAAATTATTAAAATTTTTATACCAATTAAGTTCTTACTCATATACTTTTAATACATTTTTTGTTTTTTTTAATATTTAATTTAATTTTGAAACTAATTTTTATTTATATTGCCATTATCAACATTGATAATTTGTATTTATTGAAAATATAATCACAAATTCACAGATTTTGCAATTTTAAAATATAAATAAAAACAAAAAATAAAAATGATATTTTACAAATATAGATAAACAATTATATTCTTAAAATAAAAAAATATTTTCAATTTATTTTAACAATTCCAAGTTATTAATGTAATTTTAACAAAATTTTTCCAGTATTCATTCTCTCTGCCAAAATTTTTTGAGCTTCAATAACCTTAAAAAAAAAAAATTCATTCATTAATTAATGTACATAATTGTATAATAAATACAATAAAAGTAAAAATATTATTCATTTTAATTGAAATTTAACGGTCATTTAAAAAAATTGAAGAATTAGATATTAGTTGTATAAAAACTACAATCAAACAAATATTTTTTACTAACATCATCAAACAGTAAGATTTTATAGATTATTGGTTTTATTAATTTATCCTCCAACATTTTAAATAATTCATCCATAATATTGTGAATTTTGTTTGGGTTGGAATCAAATAGCAAACCTAAATGAAGACCAGAAACACTTATATTTTTCTCTATCATTGTTTCAGGAACCAAATTTTTTGTTTGCCATTTCAAAGACAATGATCTGAAAACATTTAATGTGTCACCATTGATGTAACAACTACCACCTAAAATTTAAAATTAAATTTTAGTAAAAATAATTTCCCTGTTAAACAATTTTTAAATTTATTAATGCATTTTTACAAAATAATGATTTGCTGTTAAACCAATTCATCACACATAAACCGTTTTAGATAAATTAGTTGTGTTTTAGAACATTTATTAATGTTATATACATTTTTTTTTTCATATAAATGGACACGAGGTCCTATAACAATTTAAATTTTAATATACAATAAAATAATACTTAAAATATAGATAAAGAAACATAAATTAAGGAATATAACAAATAAATAAATACAAGAGTTATAAAAACTACAAAATTTAATTTAATTAAATCAAAATGAAATGAGTTACCAGTATGCATTAATATGTTAGAGGGAATGTTCACTGAAAAGTTTTTATTTGAGAATTAGAGTAAAAATATTCATTTTTTCCTAGTGTTAATGGTATTTAATTTAATATTAATTAATGAATCTTTTCATTCAAGAAAGTTAATCGCATCAGATATTAGATTAAATAAAAAACTAAAATATAGATAAGATCTACTTTCCCTAGAGAACATATATTATGAAAATTCTGGAGATTCTGGTAAGAGTCATGGATAGGCCTATTTATATTGAATTTAAATGCAATAAAATTCAAAAACAATTTGGACTGATTCAATAGATTCAATATGTTTCAAAGTACTGTTGACCAAAATCAATGGACAATATTCAAGATTATATCAAACCAATGAACAATATAGAGTTTTTATAGATATTGGCATTGATTATAAATACTTATATATATATATATATATTTATAATCAATGATAATGGGTGCTGGAAGGAGTGACATGTACACTTTAAAAATCCCAAAGTGAGCATTGCATTTTTTTTTTATCATTTCAGTATGATCGGAAAAATTTAATTTAGGGTTGAAAATTATACAGAAATCTTTATAGTTATAAACCATATCCAGATTTAGAGCAGCTATAAAATAAGTAAAAACAATTGGGTTTTTGATCAAAGTAAATTGCATTAATTTAAATTTAATGATATTTAATGATAGACAGTTATCAGTGTACCATCTTTCAATTTTATTCAGGTCTTCTTGCAAGTCTTCTGAGGAGATTTTATAATTTTTACAATTTTTGCATCATCGGAAAACAATAATATTTTCAGACTCCGTACAGCATTAGGATAATTTATAAAAATATTAAATAATACTGGAAAATGATAACCCTATAGGACTCCTGATGGAACAATATGTTTGGAAGACTCAAAGCAGCAATGCTTGACAATTATACTGCGATCACAATTGAATCAAGATTGAAATCACTTAAGCAGTGAGCCATTAAAATCAAATAATTTGAGTTTATTAAATAACAGTTCATGGTTGATGCTATTAAAAGCTTTCGCAAAGTCAGTATAAATTATATCAGTTTGAGCGTTGCATTTGAAGGATTCTAGTAGTGTTTTTAATTAAAGCTAAATTATGACAAGTTGAGGGTTTAGGGATAAAACCATACTGATTGTTATTGAGAAATGAAGAGTAGTAGCTTGATAATCGAGATGAAATTAATTTGGAGAAGAGCTTAGGTATAACTGACAATTTTGAGATTAGGCAATAGTTAGTGACCAAAGAGGGATCACTGTTCTTTAAAATAGGGAAAATGAACGATTTTTAAATAGTAGAAAAAATACTGGTTTTAAGCGACAAAATTTAAAATATTAGTTATAATTGAAGATAAATCTAAAATGAGCTAGAGATTAAGCTTAATACATATGAGTGAAATTTAAGGAATTTATTAATAGCATATTAATAATTATAAAATTATATTATAATAATTTGGTATATATATATACATACTTATAAGTTAGGTACTTATATAAAAAAAAAAAGAAAATTAATAAATTTATTTGACTAAACATATAGGATGAATAATATTTTAATCAAAATTACCAATGATCACTAAACGGCCACAAGGTTTAAGTAGTGTTTTACTAATTTTAATATTTGGTCCTCCAATACTATCTATTATTAAATCATAACCCATTGGTGATACTACTTTAGCTTGTGTTACATAGTTATCATGTTGTAATACATGAGAAACTCCATTTAATTTTAATTTTTCATGTTTAGAATCAGAAGCAGTTCCAACAATAGTTATATCTTTTATAGTTTTTGCTAATTGAGTAGCAGCACAACCAACACCTCCTATAAAATAAACCTCAAGCTTATAATTTGTTATAATAGTAAGCTACAAAAGGTTGTTTATAAAAATCTCATACCACCAACAGAATGTATAAGAACAGTATCGCCAGGTTGAATGTTACCCATAGTAAAAATACTTAAATATGCAGTTAAATAATTAGCAGGTAAAGCAATTGCATCTTGACCAGAAATACTCTCAGGAACTAAAAAACAATTATTAGCTGGAACTATTACTGTTTCTCTATAAAGACCGCCTGTCCAAACATAGCATACTACATGATCACCGCACTAAAAAGTTTTATAAAATATTACTCATATTAAAATAATAATTTAATCAATAATAATAACAGATAGAAAATAATTAAATTATTTCTTATTACTTGTAAATGTTTAACATCCTTTCCAAAAGCTTCCACTGTTCCATAACATTCTGTACCAAGCACCCGAGGAGTTTTCAACTCTCGTAGAAACCCTTGTCTTGTATATATATCACTAAAGTTAACACCACACAATTGAACTTTTATGCGGACATCTGATGATCCAAATTCATCAAGTGTCCATTGTTTTATCTGGAATGAATTTAAGAGTTAAAATATATTTGAAAATTAACATTTACAAAATTAACATTATTTAATTAATAAATATATTTTATATAGATAGTGTAAAATGAATGTAAAATAATTCAAATTTAATGAGCAATTAATTTTAAGCTTAAAAGGCATAGAGCCGGAGGAGTCATGACCCTCCCTTCCCTAAAGAAAAACATCAAGATTAAGTCCTTCGTGTTTATTTATAAATTAATATGTGCAATAAAACAAAGGATATTAAACTTTGCCATTTAATTATAAAAATTAACAATAATTAGAACATATCTAATTTAAATTAATAATCTACTTTCATTATATTTTAATTGTGTATCATATTTTTATCCCCTCCCCCCAATTTGTAATTCTAGATCTGCGCCTTAAACTCAATCAATTCAAAATATGATTTATATTTCAGATATATTGATGATCAAAATTAGATATTTATAATACCATAACTATATGAGTATTGTATTATATGTAATATTAAACTCTACCGTACTATTCTGTTATTACCGGCCGATGCTGCGACTATCAATGGACTAACTTTGTTATCTAGACTATACGTTTTAGTGGATATGATACAATTGAACTAACCAGAGCCAAATACATGCATAGTATTGTCAATTACACAATATAATACACAATAATTACAATATAATTTTGTCGACCCAGTTACTGGGGTCTATATTCAGCATATCAAACGTCTTTAGGGCTCCACTAAATGGAGATATAAAAAGCATAGAAAAACCAGACGTCATAATTTGAAGTCCTGTCTGGCAGAATTAATTAAAAAACACAACTTAGCTGATGGAAATTCATTCCATATTGTATTGAAAGACATTTTGGAAAATTTACCACCAAAAATGGAATTTTAAACTTTAGTAGATTAGTATTATTTAACTCTCCGCATTTGTCATTTTAATATCTAAATATATTAACTGTGGGAAAATGATGGTAGCCTGTTATAATGGTACTATTGACAGTACTATGCGTGTATCTAATTAGTTCAAGTGTATCATATTCACTATAAAGTATTGTCAAGATAACGAAGTTAGACCAGCAGCATCAGCCGGTAATCGGGATAACAGAAAAGTATTTTATCTACTAACATAATTAACTCTTACCGACTAAATTTAATGTTATCATTTTAATATTAAACCAAGAAACCAATTATAATGATTATGTTTATATTGAAGTATAACACAATTATAGGAACATATGAAAACAAATAATCAAGTTAACTATATTATATATATTTATATAATTATACTATTTGGAAATTATTAATAGATGACTTACTTGTATTTTATCATACCCCCCATAGCTTTCCAATACTATGGATTTAACTTGTTCAATTTGCTTGTTATTGTTCATTTTTAAACATTCATTTGATTTGATTTTTTTATTGTTAAAAATTTCTTAAAAACCACTATTATAATGTGTAAAAAACAATACCTTCAGCACTTCACATATTATTTAAAAATAATAAAATTATTCAGTTCTAGAAAAAACAATAAATACACAAAATTCAATGGGCGAATTGCTTTTAACCGAAATCTAAATGATTAGATACCATAAAACTAATTATGTATGATAAATATAAACTGGAAACGTAGATAACTCGGAACGAGTAGATTCTGAGAATTTAAATGTTTAAACTTAAACGTATAACACTGTGGCCAACATCAAATATTGATTAACATAAATTTCTTTTAGTCCGCATAATAATAATTTCTTATGTTTTTTTAAAAGAAATAAATTTTATTTATAGCAGATTTAAATCTTGCGTTCATTTTGAATCACTCTATACATTTTTCACATGTATTTTAAAAATTATATAGTTAATATATAAATATAAATCATGCTATGCTGTAAGCAATTATTTTGTGCCTTATGATATGTTTTATATTATATATTTTTATGCTTTATGATTTATAATTATAGCCGATACAAATACGCAACGAAACGTTTGATATCATTATCCGTGAAATAATGACCCAAGCACTATATTAAGCAGCCAATGTTTACATTTTTAACCTTATCACAGAAAATATTCGTATCATAATTCCTAAAAACTAACATTTCAACATTTCATATGCCCTTACTCTTTACTTATGATCATGAAATTGTGAAATCGTTATTTATGTGTTGTGCATTTTAAATATTTAATCTACTTTGATACTTTACGGTACTCATAATGCCGATTATATACGTCCAATAAATATTCATTTATAATAATACATTTTTTTCGGAAAGTTAATTAATATAAATGCTATAAATATTTGTACTGTATATATTTTAACACGTTGATTACCATGAGAGTTTTTTTCTTTATGTTTACTCTTGTATACCGTACGAATATTTCAGTTTCTTCACTCCTGTACCAAATCAATATTTCATTAACGGTTAATGGTACAAAAAATGTCTTATATAAAAAAATTACTGGACTTACATAAGTTTAATGAATATATAATAATTAAGGTGAGAGAATTCGAGTTCTTTCACGGTACACAAGTGATAAAATGTTGTGTTCGAGTTTTTTTGAGCCCTAACTCCCTTATTAAATTTCATTTAATTTTAAGAAAATATAACCTGTAAAACTGTATATCATGAAGTAGCATTTCAACTTTTACTGGGTATAGCTATGGAAAATTCATTAATAATTTATAAAGAATTAACTGAAAATAAACGTCAGATCTCAAATTTTAAACAGCAATTTATAGAAGATTTGAATTTAATTTTACCATCTCCTAGAAATCATAAATTAATTGAAACTGATGAAAAATAAGAACAAGGTAATTAAAAGAAAAGGCATAGGTGTGAGTGTGAATTTTTATGAAAAACTGATTAGTGAAAAAGGAAGAGCAGTTCCACAATTTGTAAAACTACCATTTTATATTGCAATACATGTAAAAAAATCTAGCTTTTTGTTAAGAATGTTTCCAAGATTCTCATAAGTAATTAACTATATTATTTTGATTTGTATATTTTATATATTTTTATTCTTTTCATAATTTTTAGCTTGTTACATTTTTAAAAAATAACAAGATGTTCATAATAAATTATTAAAGGATTTATTTACTTTTATTATTCTTATAGATTTGCATTCTAATAGATAATTTTTTTTTTATACCGTTTCTCCTAAATTACTTCGACTATAGCCCGTGAAATTAATTTTCCAACTGACATTTGGGGAACTCGTTTATCGATCGACTTACAAATTAAAAATTGTACTTCAGGCGTCAGTGTATTAGATGGCAGATTAGAAATATGATGTTTAAGTATAATCATTGATTTTATAATACACAGATAAGCGGCGCTGTACAAAAATATGGTAACCAGTTATAAGACGTCAGCCGCTATGGAGCGCTGCAGGCGATAGGACGTCTAGGACAGTCCCCCATAGTTGGGGATGAGTGGTTAGACGTCGGTAGTGGGGAAATTCGTTTATTAACAACGTACATACTCTAGTAGTAAAGTGTCTATAGTCATTATTTATTATATTATTGCATTACTGTCCAACTGTCGCAGTTTCGCGGCGAATGGTTTTCACCGCTAATTGAAATCTGTTCATGCACGGACTGGTAAAAAAGGACACAAGATGTTACATAATTTCAGGAAATCTTACAAAAACTACAATATTTTATTTTGTTTATATACATTTTAATAAATTAAATTCAAAACATTTTAAATACACGCATATCAATTTTTTAATAATTTATAAATTAACGTAAACATCAACTTATTATTAAAACAAATTATAAACCGTTGGCAAAATGCATTAAATATTATGTAAGTAAGGAAGTGTTTTAAATGTAATTTAAAATTTTTAACTTTGCTATTTTAGATTGGTGAATTGTAGTTGAAAATAATTTTAATTTTTTAAAAATTTTACAAAGCAAGAATTTTTCTAGTATAAGAATATGATGTTCTACTCATATATGTTCTTCATTTATCCACCTAGATATCAATTCGTCTGTTTTATAAATAGCTAAAAATTTGTATTTTAATTTTTTTGTATGTTGAATTTTTTCAAATTTTTTTTCAAATATTTCTAAAGCGCGATTTATAATATTTTTTTAATTCATCTGATGGCGCCTGAAGCCTTGTATCTCTATCAATATCAGAATAATTTTTATGTACTAAAAGTAATTGATTTTTATCATTTAACCCTTTATAAGGCACAGAAAAAAAATATCGTACGATTTCTACCAAATTTTCAAATTTACTTCTTTACAGTTGTAACTTACTGTAAAAAATGTCAAACAATTCGTAACTTCATTTACATTGGTAAAAAAAAGGGTGGAAATAATTTCCCACTGTGCATTTAGTTTCGTATTTATGTACCATGGGCAGAGGGAAATAATTTTCCACTTAATACCATATTACAATTTTTTTTTAATTTTAACTATTTTTATGGAATAAAATGTATATATGACATGCTATATAGGTATTTAATTGTATTTTAAGATATATGTAACCTGAAAATACAAATGTTCTCAACTGATAAATAAAATTCTTATGATATTATAGTAAACCTTATAATTTATTATAATAATTAAACAAACAAAAAATAATGAATAATAAAAAAAAAATTAAAACCTTTGTAGAATAATCTTGGTTCACATTTCAGACTTCACTTATATAAAATTATAATAAAAAACAAATAAAATCAATTTTTCAAAATAAAATTATGAGATTAACTTGACTTAGATAATTCAATTCAGTCTTGAAAATGAAAATAAAATAAAATAAACTTTCTAAAAAAAAAAATATATCAACTGTTGTAATAGGCCATTAAAATCAATAAAATATACTAAGTTTTATGGTACTCAGCAAAACAATCTTTGCATAAAACCTTGTTGCAAGTTGCACATATCATATTAGATCTTTTGTCATGTTTTTTGGTACTACATCTAAAACAGCGTCTGTATTTAAAAATTTTAGTTGCAATATGTGATTCAATAGTTGAAATTACTTCCAAGTTTGTTTTTGATCTTTTTTGGGATGGTGGTTATATCAAATAACTCATATAATATATCTTGATCATTAAGTTTATAATCCATCTGCAATTAATGTAAAAATTAAACAAATTGTTCATTAAAAATTCACAATAAAGTGAAAATATTAAGTAAGTGGGGTAAGTAATACACTTACCGTATATATATATATATTGATTCCTTATGACTTATTTGTTAAATTGATACAATCTTTGAGTTCCTAACAGCAATCTATCTTCTGTTGTAGTCGTTTTAGTTAGAGTAAAAAAATATTGACATGAAAAACGTGTCACGAAAAATTAATAATAATAATACTTACAGTATGATATGATATTTCATTATCACACGAAAATAAAGACCAAAAACTAAGCTATTTAATTATACTGATCACAGATAAATTAAACGATTTTATCAACAATAAATTTCAATTGAAACAAAACTATAAATAACTCTCGGAATAATCAGATACCGTGAATGGGCAGTGGGAAATTATTTCCCGCCGGGAACGTTTTATTTCAATAACTCATTACTAGAGTGTGCTAGAGTAAAAATACCTATATAATAATAAACGCAGAAAACTATGAATATTCGCTTCATATAAGTGGGAAATTATTTCCCTCAAATCACAAGTTACAGTATTTTTTTTTGCTAAGGTGGGAAATAATTTCCCTCTGCCCTATAAAGGGTTAAATCTCTTTTTGTTGTTAAATGTTCAATGCAATCATTGCAGTTAAATTTCTAAATACATTTGTGAGCCAAGTACCCAGAAAAATATGTAACAGAGCAATCTTCGAGTGTAATATCATTTGGTATTATTATATCTAGGTTAGGCACTGATTTTGTTGATAACGATGAATATGAACAATTAGAAGACGTGTCTGAAAATGTATCTGATACGACTTCGTTTAATGCTCTATCACCGGATATAACATCTTGTACTATAATAGAATCATCTACTTCTTGGCTGATCTCACAGTTACTGCTTTTTGAGGCTATTAAAGAAAATACACACGTACTTCTAAACAAGGTTCGAATTTTTCTTACCGTAGGGTTTCTGTTATATTCTCCTTTTTGGCGAAATATTGAAAAAAGATTTTCCAGAACGTCTTGATTTAGCCTATTTGTTATTAAGAACGTTATACCATTATTTTTTATGTCGTCATCAAAAAAACTTAATACACCGTTAATTGTTGGAGTAAATCCATTAAAACATGGAGGACGAGTCTCTTTGCCTTTATAGTTAACCAATATCATTAAAATAGTTCACTGCGTCTAATAGAAATTATTTGACTACTCCAAAATCCGTTAAAGCGCAATTGTATGGATTTTTGGAAAATAAATTTCTACTATTTAAGCGGTCAAACAATTTGTCCATTAAATCTATAAAATCCGCAGTGTCAGAGGCAGTATTACTTTTTAATTCACTAGTAGAAATA